TATTTCTAACATAATTTCTTGTGTAATCTCTTTTTACATATTGAAAAGCTGTTTGATACTTGTCAAAAATGGCATTCTCTTGCTTTTTAAAACTGTAAGATATGTGATTTTAGGTAATTATATTGAAATTATTCCTAAATAATAAATAAAATTAAATGTCCTTGTATCAAAATGTAATGTATATTTCCATTTTGAAGTGCGGCCCTGGACTATTATTTATAGGGCTGAGCTCTGTACAAGTTGAGTTTGACATGCCTGGTCTAGATGATGTGGGACCCTTAATGTCTCACAACCCTATGGGCCTTGACGGCCTGGTACAGGGATAGCTTTACTTTTTTTACTTTACTGCCTTAAAGTAGAAGTTCTCTTCTCTTGGCCATGACTTGTGTCTGAAATATTTAGACTGATGACAGCACTACATTGATCTATCATAAGCACTGCCATACAGGGCTTCTCAGAACTGTTTGGAAAACAGCAAGAAGGGAAGTATAAACTAAAATAAGAGCATGTTTTGTATATCAAAAGAAAGGGTATTCAATCCTTTTTCAAACCACATAAAGTGTGATAAATTATTTTTTAAACCCGTGTGGAAATAAAGCTATGGATGAACTGCTTGCACACTGCAAGTATAATCATCTTGCGGCACTTGACATAGCTGGCTGCAAATATGCTCAGCCATCCTTGTTGAAGGATTAAAAAAGTGGAGGAAGAAGATAAAATAATAATCAGCTTTTATCTGGAGAATTAGTGACAATATCTAACATTAAAAATAACAAGAAACAAACATATTTATTGTTAATTTTTAAAGTTTTATATGAGGCATTCACAACTGTGACATGCATTCTGGGAAGACAAAGCATAAAATGTTCATGTCATCATACACTGCTGATATGCCCAGTCTGTTCCTCGTTCACTGGATGGTCATTAAAGATCAAAGGCACCTGATATTTGTGTTGTGTACAGAAATGCATACTATTTCCTCAATCTGCAGATGAATAAATATTTTAGAGTGGCAAACCTACACAGCTATTATAAACAGTTCAAGAAGAAAATCTTCAGT